AAACTGAAAAAAGCAAGTAAAATTCTTGAAAAACAGTGTCTGAGTGAGAAGAATGAAGAAGTTCTGTTAATTCTTCATACTCAGGCTAGACAACTACAAGAAGTGATCAAGTTCAAACTTGGAATTTTAAACATAATTCAAAAAACATTGAAATCTTTCAGTATAGTCACTGACTCTTTTTCATCTTCTACTTCTTCATCTTCTTCTTCAAATCAGAAGAAAACATATGCTCAAGTAGCAGAATCTGCTGTCTTCAAACCTGCTAGTTCAAAATCTGCTCAAAATTCTGAGAAAACTGAGAAGAATATTTCTCAGATCTCTGTTCATAGAAAGGAAAATTATTATTATTATTATTATTCTTCAATTATAGATGTATGCAGTCAGAGACTATGACATCTACCTGAGAATCTTTAGTCTCAGGGTTTTTTCTATATCTATAGAGTCAACTATTATACATTTATCAATTTCAAATATATAAAATCAGAAAATTCCAGCTCAGAATACAAAAACTGTTTACAAATTGCAGTATTTCAACACCTTCTGATAGTTTGAAATCATTTGAAAATATTATGACAAAAGAAAAGAGAACATAGTCTTAAAGATAGACATATTAAATAGATAGAGAAAAGAACAGAAGAAAACAAGTACAGTAAAGAGAGACTATAATAAAATAAAATTATTAAAAGATGATGTATAGCTGTTTTAACAGACTATATCTAGTCAATTTTCATCTCTTTATATTCAGATACTTCTGAATTCAGTCATTTTCTTATAGCTGCTCTAGTTTCTGATAGAAAGTCTATTAAGTATTTAGTTCCTGTCTCAGTTGAGAATAAGAATCTTATATTTAATTGATTTAAATCATACTTCTTCTTTAATCTGACTCTGAGACTATTATATAATGCACAATGTATTACAATATACTCAGGATTTTCATTCATATTACAGAATAAGCACTCTGTTGAATCAAATCTATTATCAAATCTTTGTATATAAGATTTGAAATAATCATGTTCTAGTTTCAGCTGAATTATAGATGAGAATATTTTCTTTTTACATTTAATTGAACAAGATTTTCACTTTGATTTTATCTTAAATCTTGAATAATGTATACTCTTCTTTTGTTTCTGCCAGCTTTTATTTCACTTATTTAAACAAGATTCTTTTATCTTTCTCTTTATGAAAGATCAGAACACTGTTTTTTGAATAGATCTGCTTAATTCTGAACTCTTTTTTGCAGCTGAATCAGTCAATTCATTATTATGAATATTCATATAAGCAGGAACTTAATACAGATGAATTATCAGTTTTAATATTCTTCTCTTTTGAATTTTCAAAACAGAGTTTAAAATCAGTTTAAGATTCATTTGATCATTATGAATCTGACTATTTCTAAGTCTTTTTAAAGCAGCTTGACTATCAGAGAATATTCATATCTCTTTCAAATTATTTTCTCTTTTATAAGATTTTATTTTAATGAGTTTGAAAGCTTTCACTATTGCAAATAGTTCAGTATCAAAGACTTCAGATTCACAGTCTAAATTCCAGAAATCTGAGATAAAATTAATATTATCTTCAGTATAAGTAATGTCTGTGTCTAATCTATTCAAATTCTCACTTTTTGAGTCATCTGAGTAGATCAGAATAGAGTCTTTTATATTAATTATAGAGATCTTCTTCAAATACTGTTCATATTCTCTCTCTTTAGATAGTTCACTTATTTATAAGTCTATGAGAGATTTCAGTTTTTCTCTTCAGAGAGATATCTTCTTATGATCAATTTTCTCAACATTTAATGAAGAAAATTGATTCTTAATAAGTGAATATAGTTTATACAGTTGAGAGGGCATTTTCTTTAAAGTATTATTCTCATTTTAATCAAGAAATCTATTTCAATTCAGTTTATTTCCTGAGTTAACTGATAGAAATGAAGAAGAGACTCTTTCTCTCATTATATGATTTGAGCTCATCTTCATGACTCTCAGAGCATAGTTTATACAGGTCTTTTTAAATTGAATAGCAGAAGATGAAATTGAAGCTTCAATTTCTATTGTTTTAATAGAAGATGACTTGAATACACTCAGAATTCTTCTCAAAGCTCTGTTTTATAGACTTTGAAAGAGTTCAGTGAAGTTTTCTTGATTATTCTATTAAACTTGAACTTCATAATCAGCTACTGAGATAATACAGACTATATATAACTGTCTCATAGTCTGAAAGAATAGATCTCTCTCAGTATTTGATAGTCTGATTATACTATTCAGTAGTCTCTCTGTCTTGATAATTCTTTATTGAATATGATATTTAAAATTCAGCTTGAAGTTTAATCATACTTCTAGTCATTTGACATTTAAACTGGGTTTAATCTCTTTATTTAAAAGAGTTAGACTTAGTTCTTTCTCATTAAATCTGAGAAAAAAGTGAATTAACTCAGTTTTATTCATATCAAATTGAATTAGATTGATATCTGCTCTAATAAAGATTTTCTTTACTGCTTTCTTAATCACTTCTAAGTTCTCTTTGATTGTCTTTGAACTGTAGAGTAGATCAATATCATCTATATAACTTGAAGATCTCACTATTTTTATCTCTCTATTCTTGAATAGATATGCAGTGTATATTGCAAATAAAACAGATAAGATTGAAGATTCTTATGATACTTCTATTTTTATCTCAGTTTTATCTTATTTTTCTTTTCATCAAAGAATAGTTATATAATTCTTTTAAATATGAAATAATTGACTCATTTTATTAGAGAAAGTGACAGTTTTAACATCTTCAAAGTTTGAATTATCTTAGACTTTGACACATGATCAAATGCATCTTTTATATCAATAATAACTGCAGTTGAGATCAGGTCTTCATACTTTGCTACTTGAATATTATAAATAACTGAGAGAACAGTATTAATTGCAGAACATTGTTTTCTATCTCTCATTTATTTATTAAATAGAAGAGAATCACTAATAGAGTTTATAAAAGATAATCTAGTAGCTATTATCTTTTCTAGAATTTTTCTCAAACAGTTCAACAGAGATATTATTCTATATAACTTAGGAATTAAAGTCTTTCTATTAGATTTTATAAGAATTACTTCAGTAGCTTCTCTTCAGCATTCAGAATGATAATCATTTTTTAAGAGATTGAAAAAGAGCTCAAAATATTCATTCTTCAAGTAGGAATATGTGTTTTAAATAATTGAGTGATTAATTGAATCAGGCCCTGTAGCAGTTTTAATTGAACTTGAGAATATTGCTAACTCTAGTTCATTATATATAAGCTCAGATCATTCTCAGTTATTTTCATCAATATATTTATAAAATAATATATTCTTCTCTTCTAAATATGATAATGAGTTTTAAAAGAGAATTCTTATAAAAGCTTGACATTTTTTCTTAAAAGAATTTACTGTATATAATTCATTTTAAAATTCATATTCTAAGATTGAAAGCTTTGC